AACCACTGAGACTTCTATCATCATTGACCAATTGACAAGAGGCAAGAGAGGAAGGCCAATCAAGGAGTCAACAGACCACACTGAAGACAATACAGTTCCCAATCAGGTTCAATCCAAAAAACTGAAAGCTAGTATAGAAAGGGTGGGGGTTGCCAGCCTCGAGTGGCACCAACCTGACAAATGTTAGCTCTGGTGTGGAATTGTAGAGGGTTGGATGGGACCTCTACAATTTCCCAAATCAGAGAGCTAAAAAGAGCTCATCACCCTCATTTTATTTTCTTTCACAAACCAAAAAACCAAATGCTTTTGTAAAATCTGTCCGTAAAAAGCTAGGTTATGATAATAGAATAGCTGTTGTGGATCCTAAAGGCCTTAGTGGATACCAAAGTTGTAATAAATCAAATTATTAGTAAGGATTTCTTTATTGCAGTTGAATTCCAATTGCAGCCCCATCCCCCACAATGGGGAGTTTTTATGTATTTTAGTCCCTGCATATTGCTTAGAGAAGCCCAAAGAGAGGAAATGATTGCTGATAAACCTCAGTGGGGGCCCCTTTGGTTCTCAATTAGGGACTGGAATGACATCCTTTCAAATTCAGATAAGACAGGGAGAGTCACTAGACCAATCAGCAGTTTCAATGGGTTTGGCTCTTTCATCACTGATATGGATACGATGGAAATCAAATTGGAGGGATATCCTTACACTTGGAGCAACAACAGAGCTGCTCCTGCACTGGTAGAAGAAAGCTAGATAGAGCTTTTGGCTCCTTTGACTGGTCTCAATCCTACCCTAATGCAACAGTCTGAAATATCATTAGAAGTTCATCTGACCACTCAGGTTTGCTGTTGGACATGAGTTTACCTCAGGTGAAAAGGAAATCCCCTTTCCATTTTGATAAAATATGGATAGGAAAGAAGGCTTTGAGGAAGTTGTGACTAAAGCCTGGAACATTGCTGTCACTGGCACTCCATTTTTCCAACTTAAGGAGAAAGTTAGAAACACCAGAGTTGCCATTCTCATCTAGAGCTCCTCTTTTCAAACTCAGAAGCAGAAGGAAATTGCTGATCTCACTTAGAAGTTGGAGGCTCTGAATATTGACAAGGGTGGGAGGAACTGGGAAATGTGGGAAGATACTAGAAGAAAGTTGAATAAGGCACACTCTCAAGAGGAGATATACTGGCAGCGAAAGGCCAAACACAAATGGTTGAAGGAAGGGGATGCCAACACTAGATTTTTCCATGCCTACACACTTCAAAGGAGGAGGCTTAATGCTATAACAAGACTGATATTCAATCAGGGAAGAGTTTTATCTACTCAAAAAGAACTGGAAGCTCATAATATCAGACTTTTATGCTAATCTTTTTTCCTCTGAGGGTAGTTGGGGTGAGGAGTCAATTATCCATCTAATACCTGCAAGCATTACTCATGACATGAACACAGCCCTCCTCGAACCTGTTGATGAAGAAGAAGTCAAGCAATCTTTATTCAGTCGTAACACTGATAAATCCCCATGTGAGGATGGGATGACAACAGCTTTTTACTACATTTTTGGAGCTTGATAAAATCAGACCTCATGAAGGTAGTGCTCAGTTTCTTTCAATCAGGTACTCTGCTCAAATATTGGAACCATACTGTTTTATCTCTAATTCCCAAGTGTTCCAATCCTGATCATCTGAGTCAATTTAGGCCTATAAGTCTTTGTAGTGTTATCTATAAACTCATCTAAAAAATTTTAGCCCAAAGACTTAAGGCATGCTTAAAACACTGCATCAGTGTTCATCAGGAAGCTTTTATCAAAGGCAGACAACTTACTGATAATGTGATAATTGCCCAAGAGGCTTTACATTTTTTGAATAGACATTCTTCTGGTTCCAATTACTTTATGGCTCTCAAATTAGACCTAATTAAAGTCTTTGACCGGGTAGAATGGCTCTGCATCAAGAAGATTATGATTCAAATGGGATTTCATTGTGACTTTGTGAAGATGATTATGCTCTGTGTATCTTCTGCCTCATTCTCTTTCAAAATTAATGGACAGATCAGTGGTTATGTATCCCCTTCTAGGGGAATAAGGCAGGGGGACCCTCTTTCCCCCTACTTTTTTCTCATTGTGGCTGAACTGCTCACTGCCTCATTTTAAAGTCAATTTCATCTGGTCAGCTCAAATGGATGAGACTTTCTAGAAATGGCCCTTTGCTCTCTCACATCTTATTTGCTGATGACTCATTGTTCTTTTTTAAGGCTGGTGCAGATCAAGCAGGTTTTCTCATGAATATTTTAGAACAATACAGGCTCTTCACAGGACAAGCTGTGAACCTCCAGAAGTCTGCTATCTTTTTCAGCAGAAATACTCCCAGTCATCTTCAGAGATCTATATGCAGCTCCTTAAACATACAGATCTTTTTCTATAGATGATGTATTTTTGGGATAAGATAGACTAAATAAAATTTTATTGGTTTATATAGAAAACTGCAGCATCTATATTTGGTAAATATATTAAGTGCATTTGTTAGCTTTTATTAGGATTTTTGACTTGGTTTATTGTATTTGGAAGGTATTAGAAAACTGATGTATTTCTGTAATATCTATGACTGCTGAAATCATGGTTTCATTAAATTGAGTAAATTCATTGTTGAAACTGATCGGTTTTCTTGATTTATGTTTGATATTTAGTTAATGTGATATTGAAAATGATCAGTTTTTATCATGATTTATGTGATTTATTGATTGTGTACATGTTATTAATGTTATTTGTTATTTGCTAATTAACTAAATACTTAGTGACTGAAATTAAAAACACGTTAATTCCCTTAGATATTTAGATATTTTTTACTTGAATTCTTGACCTTTTTAAATCTTAAAAAGTGATATGTTTTGAATTTATTGATTAAGTGTTGGTGTATGGACATTTTTTCTTAACATTAGTGGTTCTGTTTTTGAAGGCATGATTATATGTTGCACACTTATTGGTGTTCTGATATTGTTAAAGGCATGATTAACTGGTTTTGTTTTTAAAGGCATGATTATATGTTGCACACTTATAGATCGTATGATATTGTTAAAGGTATGATTAAGTGGTTTTGATTTTAAAGGCATGATTATGTGTTGCACACTTATTGATCTTATGATATTGATAAAGGCATTATTAAGTGGTTTTGTTTTTAAAGGCATGTTTATATATTTTTAAAGGCCTGATTATATGTTGCTCACTTGTTGGTTTTGTTTGTGTTTTGTTGTTTAAATTGTAGTTGCTGTTTTGCATACTTTGTGTTTGTTGTTTTCATTCGGAAAAAAATACTTATCTCATTAAGTTATTTGTTGTTTTGTTTTGTTTCTTAAATTTAGAAAATTGATATGTTCTTTAATTGGTGATTAAGTGTTGCTGCATGAATCTTGCAAGTGTTATGCTTGGATATGTGGATTTGTTTTTAAAAGCATTTCTGAGTGCAATATTTGAATTCCTGTTTGCTAATTTCCTATTTCAATTCTTGTTTGGTAAGTTGTTCTGAGTGAAATATTTGAATATATAATAATTTTGGAAGTACTTTATTATAAAATTTAAAATAGTAAAAGCTTTGACTTTCCATTTGTTTTTTTTTTTAATTCTGTTCTCCTGATTATGTTCTGAGTGCTTATGTTTTATTCTGTTCTGAGTGCTTATGTTCTCCTGATAAAATAGTAAATGTTTGAAGTAGTTTATTAATATTTAACAAAAAAAATATAAATACATTAAATATAGTAAACTTTATTTTTTCATATAATAAAGAGAGATTGCATTCAGATTCAAACAAATGTTATTGGGAACATTTCAATCTTAAAACAAACACAAAACATAAGCATTCTACTAATTTATTTCTAAATAACTTCAATCCAAATCATGTGGTGCACTCAGATTTCTTCAAGCTTTATTTTCTTCTTCCCCATCAGCTCTTCCGAACAGCTTGACCTGTCTCCAAACAGCTCAGTTTGCTCTCTCTTCTTTGTCTCCTCTTTGCAACCTTTTACAGCCCTGATTGGGCTGTACACTTCAGCCTTCACAACCCTGATTGGGTTGTACACTTCTTCAGCCGTGATTGGGTTGTACACTTCTTCAGCCTTTACAGCCCTGATTGGGCTGTACACTTCTTCAGCCTTTGATTCCTTCATTATTATAAAATATAAAATAGAATTCAGAAAAGTAATAAAAAATTTATTATATATTAAAATAAAAATTGTAAAGGCAATAACCTGTGAAGGAATTGCCAAAGGTCCAAACCGATTGAGCAAAATAGGATCAGCGGTAATGCGAGAAACCGTAAATGGACCGTTATAAGGTCCAATTTGATCCTTTTTCTTTGATACTTTAAACATGATTGTTTATAAGTCAACAGGTCAATTTCAATTTGCAAATCAACTCCATAATCTTGATGCATAATAAAACATACAATAATAACAATTAAACTTTTGATATATGTAATTAGTCATATAAACATTTAGAGGAATAATAGGTGTGCATGCCTTCAACATGTCGTTGACAACATCTTCGCACGGTTTTCCTATTAGTTCTCTCGCAACCTTATCCCAACACAAAAATTGTACAATGCCGGTGTCGTCCACAACATAAATGTTGAGATTGTACCTTAACAATAAAAAAATATAATTATATTAAATCATATAAATATAAATGATACTTATAAAATGTGAAATATAATTACCTAAGAAGAGCAAAGGGAATGGTGTCGTTGCAATAGTTGCACCAAAATCTATCCCATTTGGCCTCTACTTTCCGAACACAATTGGGTAAGATTTGAAGAACCAATTTCCGGATATGTCAATGATGTTGCCATAAATCCAAAAATTCATTCCTGAAAATAGTAAATAAATAATATAACATATAAGTGCAACCTTTAAATTAACAAAGAAATTATTAGATTTAATAATTATATTAGTAGTAATTATTGTATAACATATATTTACCTCATTAGATGCTAAAAAATCAGCCAAACACTTTGATTGGAGATATGCTGGACTCCAAATCTTCACAAACGTTAGACATGAAGGGCCTCACATGTTGGATTGATGAATCATTTGGTCTTATGTGTGAGGTGTACCTTTATATTCAATAAAGGAATTTCGAAAAAGAATTATATTATTGAATTGATCTAGTATAATATAAAATAATAGAAAATTATAAAAATAATTTAATTTTCAATACCTTTCTTTGAAATCCAATATTTCGGGTACTTTTCCACAACTTTTATGGAGCCTAAAACAGAAAATAAATTTTTTAGATATAACAATATAAATTGTATGCCAAATAAAAATTATCAATATGTAGACTTAATTATTAAAATATCCATGATTCTTGTATTTTAATAATTATTATTAAAATTATTGGCATATTTAAAATGTGCAATAATCATAGATATTATATTTTAACAATTAATTCTACATAATTATATTTTTTATTTGACATACAATTTATATTGTTATCTCTCAAAAATTAATTTGCTGTTTTAGGCTCCATAAAAGTTGTGAACGCATTTGATGCTACTAAGCTTATAGTGGGGAACGTACCCGAAATATTGGATATCAAAGAAATGTATTAAAAATTAAATTATTTTTTATAATTTCCTATTAATTTATATTATATTAGATCAATTCAATAATATATTTCTTTTTCGAAATTCCTTTATTGAATATAAAGGTACACCTCACACATAAGGCCAAGTGATTCATCAATCAAACATGTGAGGCCTTTCATGTCTAACTTTTGTGAAGATTTGGAGTCCGGCATATCTCCAATCAAGTGTTTGGCTGATTTTTTAGCATCTAATGAGGAAAAAATTATATTATACAATAATTACTACTAATATAATTATTAAATCTAATAATTTCTTCGTTAATTTAAAGGCTGCACTTATATGTTATATTATTTATCTACTATTTTCAGGAAAAAAAAAATTTGGATTTATGGCAACATCATTGACATATCTGGAAATTGGTTCTTCAAATCTTGCCCAACTTGTGTTCGGATAGTAGAGGCCAAAGGGGATAGATTTTGGTGCAACTATTGCAACGACACCATTCCCTTTGCTCTTCTTAGGTAATTATATTTCACATTTTATAAGTATCATTTATATTTATATGATTTAATAATATTATATTTTTTTATTGTTAAGGTACAAGCTCGACATTTCTGTTGTGGACGACACCGGCATTGTACAACTTTTGTGTTGGGATAAGATTGCGAGAGAACTAATAGGAAAACCGTGCGAAGATCTTGTCAACGACATGTTGAAGGCATGCACACTTATTATTACTTTAAATGTTTAAATGATTAATTACATATATCAAAAGTCTAATTGTTATTATTGTATGTTTTATTATGCAGCAAGATGATGGAGTTTATTTGCCAATTGAAATTGACATGTTGACTTATAAAGCAATCATGTTTAAAGTATCAAAGAAAAAGGATCAAATTGGACCTTATAACGGTTCATTTATGGTTTCTCGCATTACCGCTGATCCTATTTTGCACAATCGGTTTGGACCCTTGGCAATTCCTTCACAGGTCATTACCTTTATAATTTTTATTTTTATATATAATAAATTTTTTATTACTTTTCTGAATTCTATTTTATATTTTATAATAATGAAGGAATCAAAGGCTGAAGACGTGTACAGCCCAATCAGGGATGTAAAGGCTGAAGAAGTGTACAGCTCAATCACGGCTGTAAAGGCTGAATAAGTGTACAACCCAATCAGGGCTGTAAAGGGCTGCAAACAGGAGACAAAAAAGAGAGAGCAAACTGAGCTGTTTGGAGACGGGTCAAGCTATTCGGAAGAGCCGATGGGGAAGAAGAAAATAAAGCTTGAAGAAATATGAGTGCACCACATGATTTGAAGAAATCTGAGTGCACCACATGATTTGGATTGAAGTTTTTTAGAAATAAATTAGTAGAATGCTTATGTTTTGAGTTTGTTTTAAGATTGAAATGTTCCCAATAACATTTGTTTGAATCTGAATGCAATCTCTCTTTATTATATGAAAAAATAAAGTTTACTATATTTAATGTATTTATATATTTTTTTGCTCAATATTAGAACAGAATTAAAAAAAAAAAAACAAATGGAAAGTCAAAGCTTTTACTATTTTAAATTTTATAATAAGTACTTTAAAAATTATTATATATTCAAATATTGCACTCAAAAACAACTTACCAAACAAGAATTGAAATAGGAAATTAGCAAACAGGAATTCAAATATGGCACTCAGAAATGCTTTTAAAAACAAATCCACAAATCCAAGCATAACACTTACAGGATTCATGCAGCAACACTTAATCACCAATTAAAGATCATATCAGTTTTCTAAAGTTAACAAACAAAACAAAACAGCAAATAACTTAATGAGATCAGTATTTTTTCCGAATGAAAACAGCAAAACACAAAGTATGCAAAACAGCAACTGCAATTTAAACAGCAAAACACAAACAAAACCAACAAGTGTCAAACATATAATCATGCCTTTAAAAACAAAACCACTTAATAATGCCTTTATCAATATCAGAAGAACAATGAGTGTGCAACACATAATCTTGCCTTTAAAAACAAAACCACTTAATCATGCCTTCAACAATATCATAAGACCTATAAGTGTGCAACATATAATCATGCCTTTAAAAACAAAACCAGTTAATCATGCCTTTAATAATATCATAACACCAATAAGTGTGCAACATATAATCTTGCCTTCAAAAACAGAACCATTAATGTCAAGAGAAAATGTCCATACACCAACACTTAATCACTAAATTCAGAACATTTCACTTTTTAAGATTTAATAAGTTCAAGAATTCTGGTAAAAATATCTAAATATCTAAGGGAATTAATGTGTTTTTAATTTCAGTCACTAAGTATTTAGTTAATTTGCAAATTAGCAAATAACAAATAACATTAATAACAGGCACACAATCAACCAATCACATAAATCATGATAAAAGCTGATCATTTTTATTATCACATTAACTAAATATCAAACATAAATCAAGAAAACCGATCAGTTTCAACAATGAATTTAATCAATTTAATGAAACCATGATTTCAGCAGTCGTAGATATTACAGAAATACATCAGCTTTGTAATACCTTCCAAATACAAGAAACCAAGTCAAAAATCCTAATAAAAGCTAACAATGCACTTAATATATATACCAAATATAGATGCTATAAACCAATAAAATTTTATTTAGTCTACTTATCCCAAAAACACATCACTATAGAAAAACTTTTGCAACTTATGCGGTTCATCAGCCAAGCACATAAAGAGCACATAAGGACCAAACAAGAACAGGATAAAAGCACAGAAAGAAGGTGGATTTAGCACACAAGCTTTAATATAGAGCAAATCCAAACAACATGAAAATGTTATCCAGCGGCTACAACATATTGGGCAACAAAAAGGCCAAACAAGATTTTACTGCTAATGGTATATCTGATAAGTAAATTTCTTGTTCTTCTATATTTTTTATAACATGATATTCGTTATCCATTATTTGATTATCTTATTTCTAAAAAGACTTAAGCACATAAAATAGATGCTTGTTTTGTTAACTTCTTAATCATGATAACTGATTCATTACACATCTCGATATAAATACTATCGTTTATTGATCGATGATTTTCATCTGTAGAACTATAACTTTTAACTAGGTTATCTAAACTTTGTTCATCTTCTTTTAATACTTTTTTATATAAAACAATTTGTTTTCTTAACGATATAAGGCAATTCATATCTTTACATACTTCTTTTAATGGCATATGCCAAAAATGATTACTTTCCATGAGAAACTAAGAAATAGATAACAAGTTTTAACAAGATGGATATAATAGTACTTGATTAAAATAGTTACCTGATTTTGCCTGCTCTCAACACAATTCTGGACTTTTTTTGCCTTGACATATACCAGCTTTGGCCTTTTCACAGAACTTCCAGTGCTCCAGAGAGACTATTGCTAAATCAACTAACACTTTTAATCTTTCTTTTTATATCTTTTAAGTATTTAGAAACTCATTATATATATGAAAGCATAAAATCTTATGAAAGAGAGAGTGTTTTAGGAAATGATTTTATTTCGAATTGTTGTGTCCTCAAATGAAATTTGAGACACTTATTTCTAGGCGAGAGATACAACTCTGCCCCTTTACATCTGGCTTCACATGGCCGACATCTTTTACATTATACGTCCTTAGTGGAGATAAAGAGGGTGTGGGTGGTGACTCACCATCCCATTACATAATGCATATTATTATTACAAATGACAATTTTCAAAAGGAGGTGGATCCTCCATTATCTTCCACTATTTGCTCCATTAGTTGGAGGTGTGATCCTCCACTAGCTTTCACTATTTGTATTATTTGCCTCCTGACATAAGTGCTTACATCATTCCTGGATAGGTTCAAATTCTCCTTGTGATTCTGGGTTGCATAATTCACAAATATGATCTTCTGTGGATTGTTTCTGTAGTCTGATGCAGATTTCTTTCTTAATTATTTCTGGAATGTCAAGTTGTATTTTTATTAGTGTGTTAAGATATTTGTTGAGTAGCTTGATATCTAGCTCCGTTGGATCTCTTGCTTGCATAATCCAAATGATAATGGACTTAGCTGCATAATTAATCCGTCCCTTTATTTTAATGCATTTCTTTAGAATTATGACATAATTTAGGAACTGGATTAGTTCATCCTCGTGTTGTACTTGTCCAATGTCTGGGTAGTTACCGTTGCTTATTCCAATTTGACAAAACTGGATTGCTGGTTGTATTACTTCTGTGAGTTCTCCCCCTCACTAAAAATTGGTGTTGTGGCAAATATCTTCACGAATCCTTCCTTTTTCCTAAGTACGTGCTTACAGTATTGGGAAACTGCCTTTTTGATGTTGATTCGAAAGTATTGGAACATATTTGTATCTCTAAAATAAATACAACTTAGTAATCCTGATTGGAACATCATGTATACTTTCATCGGATCTGTTTCTGGTAAAGCGATTGCTTTTTGTCCAAGATATAGACCATTAGTTGGGTAACTGTTTGTATGTCTATCTTCATCGGTGTAATTAACCACATTTAAATTCATGGTCAAAAATATTTTTAGCGAGCTTGGTCATTTCTTCTTTTTGTCGATTAGACTGTATGCATCCAATTGTGAGTGGTTTGATATTTGGGACCTTGCCTAATATAGGCATTTGCTTCTGTGTTGCTATAGCCGGTGACTGTGCCTTTCCTGCATAGCTTGCCTTGAACTATGCTAGCACTTCTTTTGCTTCGAACAGGCTAGAAAATTTTTTATGTATAATATTCTGTCATGTTATGAACATGGCTGCTTGACTCCATTGGGAAAATACCCCTTGATTAAGACCTGTAAATATTACATAATGGGTTTTTGATCTCTCTTCCTCATCATAATGAGTTTTTCCATTTCTTCCCCATTTTTTTCTTTTTCTTTTGATGTTTCAGCCTTTTCATGTTTCTTTTCTTCTTTGCCTTATTTTCTGAGAACAATATGCCTTTTATCTGGCTAAACTTTTTTTCTTTTATTTATTTGCTCAAAGAGCTCTTCTACCTGCTTTTCCAGCATTCTTAAACTATCTTCTAAGATTGGTTTGAGTGTTTCTCGTGTTAATGTATATGCTAAGTAGTTTTCTTTTCCTGAAATATATACAGATAAATAATCAAACTGTTGTACTTTTTAACACCATCTTAAAAGTCTGCATTTGTTGTAGGATTCTTTTATTCGATATTTTGTAAAATATTTTGTATACAAACTATCTGTTTGAAAAATGAATTTAACTGGTTGTAAGTCAAGTTTAAATTTTTCCAAAGCATTTATAAAAGCTAATGTTTCTTTTTCATGTGTTGTATAGTTGCGTTCTGCTTGCTTAAACGTTCCTGATACCACTTGGATAACAGTAATTACTTGTTATTGGTTTTACCCAATGCTAATTACATAGAATCATTAGATTCACTATTTTTATCCAAACTATCTTTAGTCATTCTTCGTATAAAGGATTTGACTTCAGATGATTTGTTGTTTGTCATAAACTTATTAAACTCTTCATATGCATCTGGGATTTGTTGTTTGTTATAAACTTATTAAACACTTCAATGCTTTGATTTCTGTTTTGAAAACAGAAATCAAATTCAAAAATTTCTTAGATGTTTAACATATATTGGAGAAAAAGGTTTTATAAAAAGTCTTGCAAAAGAAGAGAGTTACTACAAAAAATTGGTTTTAGAAAAGTATCATGGAAATCCCAGATGCATATGAAGAGTTTAATAAGTTTATGACAAACAACAAATCAGGGAAGTCAAATCCTTTATACGAAGGATGACTAAAGATAGTTTGGATGAAAATAGTGAATCTAATGATTCTATGCAATTAGCATAGGGTAAAACCAATAACAACCAATTACTGTTATCCAAGTGGGTAACAGGAACGTTTAAGCAAGCAGAACGCAACTATACAACACATGAAAAAGAAACATTAGCTTTTATAAATGCTTCGGAAAAATTTAAACTTGACTTACAACCAGTTAAATTCATTTTTCAAACAGATAGTTTATATACAAAAGATTTTACAAAATATCGAATAAAAGAATCCTACAACAAAGGCAGACTCTTAAGATGGTGTTTAAAAGCACAACAGTTTTATTATATATCTGTATATATTTCAGGAAAAGAAAACTACTTAGCAGATACATTAACACGAGAATGGAAACACTCAAACCAATCTTAAAAGATAGTCTAAGAATGCTGGAAAAACAGGTAGAAGAGCTCTTTGAGCAAATAAATAAAAAAGAAAAAGAAATTAGCCAGAAAAAAGCTATATTGTTCTCAGAAAAAGGCAAAGAAGAAAAGAAAAATGAAAATGCTGAAACATCAAAAGAAAAAGAAAAAAATGGGGAAGAAAAGGAAAAACCTCATTATGATGAGGAAGAGAGAACAAAAGCCCATTATCTAATATTTACAGTTCCTAATCAATGGGTATTTTCCTAATGGAGTCAACCAGCCATGTTCATAACATGACAGAATGTTATACATAAAAAAATTTCTAGCCTGCTCGAAGCAAAAGAAGCGCTAGCACAGTTCAAGGCAAGCTATGCAGGAAAGGCACAGTCACCGGCTATAGCAGCACAGAAGTAAATGCCTATATTAGGTAAGGTCCCAAGTATCAAACCACTCACAATTGGATGCATACAGTCTAAACGACAAAAAAAAAAAAAAGAAATGACCAAGCTTGCTAAAAATATTTTTGACCATGAATTTAAATTTGTGGTTAATTACACAGATGAAGATAGACAGACAAGCATTAACCCAACTGATGGTCTATATCTTGGACCAAAACCAATCTCGCTCTACTAGAGGCAGATCCGATGAAAGTATACATGATGTTACAATCAGGATTACTAAGTTGTATTTATTTCAGAGATACAAATATGTTCCAATACTTCCTAATCAACATCTAAAAGGCAGTTTCCCAATACTGTAAGCACGTACTCGAGAAAAAAGAAGGATTCGTGAACATATTTGCCACAACACCAATTTTTAGTGAGGGGGAGAACTCACAGGAAGTAATACAACCAGCAATCCAGTTTTGTCAAATTAGAATAAGCAACGGTAACTACCCAGACATTGGACAAACACAACACGAGGATGAACTAATCCAGTTCCTAAATAATTATGTCATAATTCTAAACAAAGGCATTAAAATAAAGGGATGGATTAATTATGCAACTAAGTCCATTATCATTTGGAGTATGCAAGCAAGAAATCCAACGGAGCTAGATATCAAGCTACTCAACAAATATTTGGACACACTAATAAAAATACAACTTGAGATTCCAGAAATAATTAAGAAAGAAATCTGCATCAGACTACAGAAAGAATCCACAGAAGATCATATTTGTGAATTATGCAACCCAGAATCACAAGAAGAATTTGAACCTATCCAGGAATGATGTAAGCACTTACGTCAAGAGGCAAATAATACAGATAGTGGAAGCTAGTGGAGGATCCCACCTCCAACTAATGGAGCAGATAGTGGAAGATAGTGGAGGATCCACCTCTTTTTGAAAATTGTCATTTGTAATAATAAAATGCATTATGTAATGGAATGGTGAGTCACCACCCACACCCACTTTATCTCCACTAAGGACCTATAATGTAAAGATGTCAGCCATGTAAAGCCAGATGTAAAGGGGTAGAGTTGTATCTCTCGCCTATAAATAAGTGTCTCAAACTTCATTTGAGGACACAACAATTCGAAATAAAATCATTTCCTAAAACACTCTTTCTCTCTTTCATAAAATTATATGCTTTCATATATATAATGAGTTTCTAAATACTTAGAAGATATAAGAAGAAAGATCAAAAGTGTTAGTTAATTTAGCAATAGTCTCTCTGGAGCACTGGAAGTTCTGTGAAAAGGCCAAAGCTGGTATACGTCAAGGCCACAAAAGTCAAGAATTGTGTTGAGAGCAGGCAGAATCAGGTAACTCTTTTAATCAAGTACTTTTATATCTATCTTGTTAAAACTTTTTATCTATTTCTTAGTTTCTCATGGAAAGTAATCATTTTTGGCATATGCCATTAAAATAAGTATGTAAAGATATAAATTGCCTTAAATCGTTAAGAAAACAAAGTGTTTTATATAAAAAAATGTTAAAAGAAGTTGAACAAAGGTTAGATAACCTAGTTAAAAATTATAGTTCTACACCTGAAAATCATCGATCAATAATCGATAGTATTTATATCGAGATGTGTAATGAATAAATTACCATGATTAAGAAGTTAATAAAGAAAGCAGAAAAACAAGCATCTATTTTAAGTGCTTAAGTCTTTTTAGAAATAAGATAATCAAAGATAAATAATGGACAACGAATATCATGTTATAGAAAATATAGAAGAACAAGGAATTTACTTATCAGATATATTATTAGACAAGAAGGTAGTAACAAAAGTAAAGAATAAAAGAAATTTAGATTTAGAAAAGAAAGAAGGAATAAATAATGGTATATTAGAAAAATTAAATTGAAAAAACATTACGGAATAATGAATGGAGAACAACCGATTAGAAAAAAGATAAGTTATATACATATAAATACAGTACAAATAGTATTACGATCAACATTTAGAGAAGGAATAAAGACATTCGTAAATATAAAAGTTGAAGATAATAGAATTATGCATAAAGAATCAAGAAAATTAGGAGAAATAGAAGGAGATTTAGGGTATGGAGTAATTAAATTTAATATATCATTACAATTTCCTACACCATTATCAACCAAGAAAATTAATAATTGCATAGGAATAATATGTAATTTTCAAGAAAAAACATTAATGGAATCGTGTTTGTTATAGAATAGCTTATGCATTAAGCAATAGTAGTTTAAGCATGAATTATCAAAATCAAGAAAGAATCTATACAAAAAAAATATTGAATGAAACCAGTACTATTATTAAAAATGATAAAATCCAAAATGAATTTTAAGAGAACATAGTAGGCGATCATTTAGTAATTCTATAAATTTAGGAAAACTAATTGAAAATAATTTATTACAAATTCAAGAAATTGAAGAACCTCATAGTAGTAATAATTTATATAAAAAGGATATAGAAATAGAAAAATTAAATAAACATGTAAATGTGTTAAGCTCATTAGTAATAAATTTAATTAATAAAATATAGAATTTGTAATAATAGATAGGAGAGGTATAAATCTTGAATTAGTTGAACTAAATACAAGGGGAATCAAAGAAGTAGATTATTTAATAGAAAAATTAATTCAATATAAATATATAGAAAAAGATGAATAAAAATTAAAATAGCTAGATTATGATATACAAAGGTATAAGCAAAAATTTAAAAAATTACATAAAATATGACCACCTAAAACAATAATATAAATGACTTCATAAGGAGTATATAAGATCAGATCTGAAAAAATATCTAAAAGAAAAACAAGTTTTTCAGATACACAAAGACTCAAAGAATTTCTTTCTAACTGCAGAACTCAATAGGATTGTGAATTCAAATATTATGAAAAGAAAAGTATTGTCAAAAACAACTTTAATAGACTAATTGACTTTTTAAACAAACATATCAAAAAACATATAGAAGAACAAAAGGAAGAACCTGATATTAATCAGCTTATTCTTGAAAAACTAGAAAAAATAGAAAATAAAATAAAAACATTAGAAGGAAAGCACACTACTATATCTTTCGGAGACTGATTTAACACTTAAAAAGATTTTAGGACAAATATACAATTACAACAAAATGAGACAAATAGCCTCCAAAATAGTGATTTAAAAGTGGTATCAGAGCAAGGAAACAATTGAAAAATAAAAAATAAGCACAAGAAAAATTTATTTTGATATAGGATGGAAAATTCAAAATATCAAAACAGATATAATAAGATATACTTATTTACATGAAATTACAAGTTTAAAATTTTATTATGACATCATGATGAAAAGTGAAGAAAAATTAAAAAGATTAATAAACCTACCAAAACAAGTAACAGTTGCATAAAATGACATATCAAAAAGGCTATGTCCACACCAAACACTACCCGTATGGGTAACATCAACTGAATAGTAGGCAACTGGTTTCTATTAAGAAAACAGTGTATGATTTCTTAGCAAAACTCATTCTTGTATATAATTATTCTGCACTCTCGGATGAGATACTTTGGCTTAAATATAATATTAGTGTAGATAACTACAAAAGTTTGTATACTATGTACACTGAATCACGACTTAATTTAAATAATACAAACGTTGGTTTTCCAACATCACATTATTATTAGTCAACGAACCAGCAATATCATTTTCTACTCTCGCAATTATCACAGCGCAACCCACTTGAAAAAGAAAAAAGCTATTTGTACTAACTTTTTTGTAGAAACATTTAATGACAACACGATGTGGCATAATGTGGGTGGTTGAGATACAAATAAATGTATAATTGAGATTTGAATCAATGATACGTTTAATTAAGGTGTCAAATAATATTGTAAACTATAATTGTACATGTAGCATTATCCCTTGAAAAAATATATAAACACATGAAATAAAGAAAGAGTTGCTATATATATACCTGGAGCAATAGGGCAACTCGTCAGGGTGAATCGGGTCAGGCCCCAAACATAAAATGCTGAGCGTGTCCCGCCAGCTGGCGGTCCTCGCGATGTACAGATCATAGCTGCTTGTGAACCTGACGGTCCGCCTCACATCCCTTGTGTAGTACTTCCTCTACTCCTGAACGTCCAGATCCATGAACCCGTGGACCCACCAATCATACCGTCCAGCACCGCTCGTGGAATCCCATGATTCACCACCTGGGAAAACCCAAACGCCTCCGAAGCCATTCTCACTTGCTCCACGATCCAATTTCGCCTCTCGGGATTTCCCGTGTATCCAATATCGATCACCGGGACCTGGACTGACTGTCGTAGTTTAGGCTCCCGAGCGAACTCGTCTAACGGACTAACGAAGATCTCGGGGATTTTTTGGAGGCCCAAGTCGGCTAGCCTTCACTCCCGCATTTGTTTCGTCAAACTCCTTTAGCATTCTCATCATCCTTGCTTCCCTTTCGGTGGCCATCTGAATTTTACAAGTGTGTGTGTTTTCGTTGGTATTCTATTTCAATTTTGAAATTTAGGAAGAAGGTGGGTTTAATTTGAATTTGCGGAAGGGATAATATAATCAGAGTTGCAAGTGGTGTCATCTTTATCTCGTGAGTGCTGACTGCTGGCCGACGTGTTTGAATTCTTGGATTTTTGTGCTTTATCTTATTTAGAGTGCCCCACTAAGTGTTTATTTATTTATCTATTTACCATAGAATTACCCAAGCATATTCCACATTTAATACATTTATTAAGTTCTTTTTGAGATCCCCACAAATATTTACTACTCCACATATTAGGAANAAAAAAAAAAAAAAAGAATACAGTTAATATAAGACAGACACGTGGATAGAACCATGTGAGCTAACACAATTGGCTAGTTTGGGCACCTAAGCAGTCCAATCGGGCAGTCTTGGACAAACAAGATAAAACTTCTCAATAAAGGGATGAGGTATGACCATCACAACTCTACTCACTCTAATATGTTTGCAATTACATACATTCCATCATCTTATTCATCACTACTTACTGACTTAAGCATCAGAGCTTCTACATCGAGACAACTCTCGACACAGTTTTGCTGCTCGTGGACAAATCAAAGGACGTTCAACCGGGTTGAGGTCGTATGACGAACATTTGGTGCCTTATGTGAGATCTTCGTTCATAAAGCCTCCAAACACCATTTTTCATGGTGAACGATGATCCCGGAAAGAACCTGGAGCCCAACTTTGACGAGGTGTGGGCTTCTAGTCATCTGTTCAGAGTAGGCCCACCGTCTGGCTTCTCGAGGTAGATTCCAACGCCGATGACCCTAATTTTCAATCTCTCAGTTTTAGGGGGATCATACGTGTCCCCAACAGCAGTTGGAAGTCTGATTGTCCAAGCAGAGGGCAGATCGAGCATAAAGGTCATCCCAGCACCCTCGATTCAGCCAGATCCACTCCAGGTACGAGATCGAGGGTCACTTGTAGTAGGAGGTTCGCCAAAAAACACTCACGCTAACAAGGGAGGAGCTCAAAAGAATGGTATCATAAGTCTGTTGTAGCTAGGTATGTTCATTCATAGTTGTTGGGCGTAGTAAACCCCACTGCGACGACAAGGAGGGAGAAGGTCAAGATTTCCAATAGCTCAGCCATGGAAGCTCATCACGATCTAGCGGTGGAAAGGATGGATGCTCATATTCGATAATAGCAAGTAGGGGTGAGCATGGTGCAGTACAGTGTAAAACCGCAGCGAACCGTCAAAAACCGAAAACTGTAATTATACATTTGTCCAAACTGAACCGCACCGAATTTGGAGGAAAACCGAAATGAAACCGCACCGAAATTTTCAGTTCGGCTTGGTGCGGTTTTTGGTGAACCGCAAATATATAAATTGTAATGCCCCGTTATTTTTAACGGAAAATTCTTAATTTTCAAAAATAGGAATTAATTTTTCAAATTGAAACCATTTATCCGGGCGCTACTCTGAATCAACTTTCACCTTTCACTTAGCTTAAGACACAACTTAAGCTTTTGGGAACTCAGGCCCAATATCAAATTTTCGTAATCGAGACATAATCCCAAAATACTCAATCAATAATGTCTCGAATCAAAACGAATATTATCAGTTCAACTTTTCAAATCCAAAACACAGCAAGTTTCAGAAAAACGTTTGTGAGAAGCATATGATGTGGCATGAATATAAAACCCTTGGTATATAATGTAGAAAAATTAGGCTGCCATGTAACACTCCTCCGTCCCACGTAAGGTTTTTAATCGAACACGTCAGTTCAACTAGGGCGGAAAATGGTTCGAAGACAAATTTGCAACACATAATAAAAATTTGGTATTTAATTGTAAAGATAAAAATGTTGAGTTTTATTTGCAATTCTATAACAGGTTGGGGTTTTATAGGCAATTAAGCCTTTACTATATAACCAAGTTTAGTGTCGATCGTAAGTATTTCATTTCCATTCCACTACAAGTATACAACAGCTGAAATTCACGGTAACTTGTAGTAATCCACACCAAGGTTGCCGTCAAGTGGCGTATTCACAAACCTCATTATATAATCACCCAACATCACTTCCCTGTACTTGGCTGGATCTTCTTCAGACAACATCTCTTCAATAGGACCATAAACCTTAACCTCACCAACTGGCCCAGACAAGAAGAAAGCCACCGATATTCTCGGCCCAATGCTCCTCGCCACCACTCTGTGTTTAACGCTTATGAATCTCCCATTTGACACCAACTGTACCAAAAAGTGTGTGTAATAGGTTTTATATATATTTAAAAAAATATATTTTTTATAAGTATTTAAGAAAATACCTGGAGCAAATCCCCAATATTGACAACCAAAACCCCTGGATTTGGTTCAATATTAACCCACTGGCCATGGTGCAAAACCTGTAGACCACTAATTTGGCTCTGTAGAAGAATTGTAAGAAATCCAGGATCTGAATGCTTAGAGGTCCCAAGAGTCAGCTCTGGCTCGGGACAAGCTGGATAATAGTGACAGCTGAATCGAAACCCCTTTGAGCAGTCCATTTTTAGAAGGTGGTCGGGTTTTAGTCCAAGTGCCTCGGAGAGTAACTCCAGAAGTGTATTTCCCAACATTTTTACATACTTTGAGTATTCTACCGTGCTTTCCCTGTATGGATATCATCAGTACAGTATAGTTATGCAACTAATCAAACTCATATTTAATATAACAAAAAAATATACAAGTATAGAGATTGTTAAGGTGATCAATCCCTTTGTTGGGTTTGCTTTGAGCACGATACAGAGTTGAGCTTGATCTGTTTCAATTAATTTCAACTATATTGATCGGACTTGACATGTTTGGATCCAAAATTGACCTCTTGGTATTTTGTCAGTGAAGAACGAACTCTTAAATAAAGTTGATGCTCTTTGATTGATTGGGTATCCGTATTTTTCTACTAAAATCGTGAAAAAACACACCTGATTAATTATTTCAAGGATCCAATTATCTTTCAAAATTTCCATATCAATATTCAAACCAACCAAATTAATGTTTGAACTAGGAGAGTTAACAAAGCTAAAATTACCGGCAAGATTCAGGCAATTCATCAGTGTTAATTTGGTCCGGAAATATAAAGCTCAAGGTGTCTCTCCAGTTGGCGGTCCTCGAACTGTAGAGGTCAAAGTTGCTGCTGTATCTGACGCGCCACCCAAAATCCCGCGAGTAGTACTTCTTTCTCTCGTCCGCGTCCAGCTCGTTGAACGCGCGGACCCCACCGATCATCCCGTCCAGCACGTCCCTTGGAATCCCGTGGTTGGCCACCTGGAAAAATCCCCAAGTGCCCGAGGCCGCTCGCACCTGCTCCACAATCGCCTTTCGGCTTTTCGGATCTGATTCTATGCGGCTAAGATCGATCACCGGCACCTTAATTTCTGACGTGTTTATGTGTCTCGCCTCACAAGCAAGCTCCTCGGGGGGCCTCACGAAAATCTCGGGGACTTTTCGTAAGCCGGAGTCAATCAGACCTTTGACGCCGGCTTTTGTTTCGTCAAAGGCCTTTAGCATTCTCATCCGCTCTTCCGGTTGATGTTGCTCGTAAACGTTTTCTGCCATTGGAGTGTGTTTTT